TCAAAAACCACTACATTACTTAAAGGTGTGCCTATTACTATGCCAGGTGCCTAACGTGCGTTTTATTTCCAACCGAGGGAAAACTAGGTTCTATCTCCGTTCTTGCGTAAATAACTGTACTTATGAAACCTAGCAATACGATAACTAGGAGGAGGAGTAGCCTATGCCTAGAAACTCACTTTATTATCTCGATTATGCAATAGCCCGGTTCAGAGAGACAAGCCGCCTATTTAAAGAAAGACCTATACCATATGGTTCTATATCCCCGCCTAGTTCTTTATTTTTCAATACATACGGTCATTCCAAGAGTAATATGGCATTCAACACAACGTTGGTATGTCGCTCTATTAAGATAAGAGGCCGCCCATCCTAAGAGAGGGACTGGGTGGGCTTTCCGGCGGGTAGAAATCGCTTTTAGGTTTATAATAAATAAGCGCGCCAGTATCGTTGTATTCGAATTCCTTCTATGGTAGGTAAGAAGAAGGAAGGACAGACACTTTTCTAAGGAGAAAGAAATGGAAGTTTACTCGAACGTTAGGAACTCCGAAGACTAGACCTACTGTACAAATAGGAAGGTAATACTGAAATCAAATTATGGTTTATTTTCTATTTCTCAGGTATAAACGTAGTAAGAGAAGAAGAGCGAAATAATAAGCCACTGCATCAGCACTAGGGAGGGCTGGTCTGGAATGACATAGCATAGATCAAAACATTGACTTGAACTTTCCCTTTACTTTATAGGTTGACCGGGATGACCCAGGAGCTTTTTATCCATCCACTTGATTCAGTAATTTCATTCTATCTCGACTCCAGGCAAGACAAAGCACTTCCAAACCCTAATATTCTCTGAAGAGCTGGTACTATGCGACTGTCCTGGCTTAGTTTTCCCTTCATTTTATAGCTCGCTCGAGACATGAAATGGTAGCATGTGGTGTTCTACCAATCGACCGCATGACTCAGCACAGGGAGGCAGTACAGGTCGTAGCAAACAGGGTTGGGCGCAGCCAACTGCAACGCTTCGAGCTCCTGGAGACGTTATGTCGTGCCCAAGTTACGGAGAAAGAGTCGAGATGCAACCCGGTACGATGTCAAGGAGTGGTGCGAAAGAGAACCAAAAAGTTCAACTGGTCTTTTGCAAATGGTTTGATTTCTCTTGTCCTAGCATCGCGCGGGTATCTTACTTGTAAGAAGGAGTAGACTAATCCACTCACAGGTGGTTAAGCTCTTTCTTAGCGTTTGTTCGCTATACAAACTATACAAGCTCTTATTGGTGTGGCCGAACCCAATAGACTTAATTAGTCCTTCTACCTGTCCGAAGCGCCTCTATCATTTGGCCGAGAAAGGCGTCGGCATAATAAGATAGGATAGAAGATAGAAGGGCCCCCAGCTATGTGCCATTGTAAAAATGGTTTTCTATCACCTTGACCTAAAGAAAAAAGTTTTCTTCTATGGCTCCTAACCCTTCTTAACTCGCTACTTTTTTTCCGCTCGTTCCCTATCTATGGTCGAGCACTTCGTTCATGAGTTGCTATCACTTTAGCTGTAATAACTAGAACTTCTGCTATCTTCTCAAGCAAGTTCAAATTGCTTTCCTTAGGACGAGCTTTTAAGGCAAAGTAGAAAGAGCTTATTTATTCGTCGATAAAAAGCCTTTACTTAAAACTAAAAAGGAATAGAACCGAAAGCTCTTTTCCAATATAAAGAGGCATGTCAACAAGCACCTGACAGACGCTCATCTACTTCCATTTCCTATTTTTTATCAATATCCTTCCCGTCGTATTCTTTCCTTCGCTTTTGGGTCGCAGCCTAAGCCAATGGCTAGCTAGTGAAGTGAATCCTTCATTCGCCGACTAGAGAGCATGCCACTATGCTTGCCACATGAAATTTCTTTCTTTGGCACTGCAGCTGCACTTTAATTAGTCACCTTGGGCCAGGCCCACTTATACCCTGCCACAAGAAATCACCTAAAATAGGCCCATGTCAGTACTACACAGCTTTGGTTATTCAAATGGTTAGCGAAAAATTCTCTTTATTTCATTTTCTTTCGGTCTCGGCACCAACAGAAAATGAGAAACGAATCAAAGAAACTGAAAAGGCCACTCAAGCGAAATATGGAAAGGAATTTAAAACATCATGTGCTGGTACGAAGGAAAGAAAGCACATAGCTTGACAAGCGAGCATCCCTTTGATGGATGCATGAAGGCCTAGCTCTTTACTTTAAGAAAGACTACTTGAAAGCAGCCTTCTCCAATTTGGCCTCACTCTTTCGATGTGCTAATTCCAATTCCTCAGCTGGAAACAGATTCTACCAAGCTAGGGAGGGCTTGCTTCCATTTGGATTTCGTAGTCGTAGAATGCCTTTATCTTGATCCATATCTGGATCATTAAGATGAAAGTAAGGACTTCCTTGATAAAGTATATCTTCGTTCCATTGGAATGATCTTTTTTGATTTTCAGGTGCTCCCCTCCCAATCAACTTCCAGCCCGACTCCAGAGGAACAAATCCTGGACCCAGCCGAGAATGCTCCAGATTGGCCAGCCGAAATTTCCCCTGCGAGTTCCTTTTTATTTGATCTCTCTCCTCGTCAAATACACTCTCTCTCTGAAGGCTAAATCCCCTCGTATCTCATATCCAGCTCATAGGTCTCCTTAATGGGACTGATCTTGACTACTGGAGGTCTCTGTGATGAAGCTTCCTTCACTAACTCAGGACTTGTTTTCTTCTGCTGCTTTTATCCTTCTCCATATCCGTTGGGATGCCATCACCTTTCTTCATCATTCATCATCAGTGTTTGCTGTGACTGGTCCTGTTCCTTCTCTATTTTTTCTGAAATCAGGGTAGGATTTCCTACATTTACATTTTGATCTACGTTGATGATATTATCGTTACTGGTAATTCATCTTCTGCAATGAAACACCTCTGACATACTTTACATCAGCAATTCTCCATTAAAGATCTTGGTCAACTTCACTTCTGGGTATTGAGGTCACCTCTACTAGTTCAGGTATCCTTCTTACTCAACAGTACTTGAGAAATCTACTTAAGAAGGCAAACATGCTCACAGCCAAACCTATGAACACTCCACTTAAAACAAATCTTCAGTTATCCAGGATTCCCTTAATAAATCCTTCCTTATATCGAAGCATTGTTGGCGCAGCTTCTGATCCTCCATAGAACAAGTAGGCAGTCTTTGGTTGGCTTACTGAAAATGCTAGGATCACCTATCAAACTAAGGAACCCGGAGGGAGAAGGGAGAGATCTCAACGTTACACTTCCTACCTACTCGCTCTCGCTCTGCTTTTCTAAATAAATCTTCTCTAAGAAGGCTGCCCCACTACTTACTTAATGAATCTCATGGGCCTTGTCCTGGCTTCAAAGAAAGACCTTTCGAAATGTCTCCCTCTAGCCTTTCTTGGGAAAGATCGACTAACTCGAAGCGGAAACTTGAAAATACCAATCATCGCTAACTGATTCTAGCTAGCTATTCCGAGAAAGAAAGAGAAAATGGTCTACGGGCCTATCACTTCGATAGCTAAGCCTGCTACTCATCCTGGGTGGTCAAGCACAACATGTCCAATTACCAAAAACTCCTTTTCACTTGTGAACCACTTAGAAAGTTTTCTACTTGATTGGCATCCATCCACATGTTACCAACAACATATCATTCTCTATGGAAATTGTCAAGTGGGATCGATCCCCAATCGTCGAAGTTAAGCACCTCAGTCGCTTGGTATGCGGCGCACCATCCTTCTGGAGGTGTCGTAGGTCCATAGGCCATAAAGAAAAGATAGACTAAGTATGAAAGGAGCTTAGCTTAGACAATGAAACTAGCCACTGGAAAGTCCACTGAACCTTGTCATAGCGGAAAACCAAGAAAAGGGAAGTCCTTGTGTGCTTAGTAGGTGATTGGGCATACAAAGTCGGACAAAGGCACCGACACGAATAGTAACTAAAAAAAGTATCATCCATGGGAGGACTCAGAAGGAAAGAAGGTGAGCGAGATACTAGTCATGTTGATCGAAAGTC